AGAACAAACATTATTCAGCTTGATAATTATAATACATAGATTATCGTTCGATTGCAAATAATTTGTTCTATTAATACATTTTAATATAATACTGTATTACTCATATGATATGAATATAAAGAAGAACCATTTCATTTCGAAAATATGTTTCGTTAGTGAAAATTCATAATATTTCAAATCACATTTATGTAATACTTTAAAAATACTCTTTTCATATATTTTACATGTACCTATTTATGTTTTCTCAAGATGACTTATTTTTGAATGATGCAATCATACATATTTTAAATGTACAGGTAATTTTACAAAATGCCCAAACATTAATACATATATTTTGGAATAATATTATTATTATTAATTGTACCACCCTATATTATTATAAAAAAAACATTTTACAAATAATATTGAATTGCTATTGAAAAAAAATGACAGTTATGAGTATTGAAATTACAAAAATAATTTTAGATAAAACGTCAGATGCGGTTGGTGAGCGTAAAAGACGAAATTCCCTAATTGTATTAAATAATAATTTTAATTTTAAATTAATATTTAAACAACAGATAATAAAATACCTTAAAATGTTTATTAGTTACTCGCTAAATGTCAGACATCTGTAGCATTGGGTCATTTTGGGACTTACGAATCATTCAATTTATCTTATTACTAAACATGGCTGTACGCATATTATATAGTGTATACGTTATAATACACATTTAAAACTTTTGAATTACCCATAAAATGAATAAATGCGATTCATTTTACTGATTAGATAAATTTTCTATTAAAGCATTATATACAATGTGCGTAAAAACGAAACTGAAGACGTGACTGCTTTGTAATGTTAAGCTATATTTTTTATCATGTTTTTTATTGTGAAAATGTTTTGAGTTTTCTTTCGTTTAAAAAAAAAATAATAATAAGAGCTTTGAAGAAAATATCTTAAAGTTTTTCAAAGCAATGCTTTTAAATCATTTTGCCAAATAAAATAGTTTGTTTTCTTAAAAAAAAAAACAAAAACGTGATAGTATTTTGTATTAAAAAATCAGATATGGGTTACAGCATTAGAGCGTATTTGACATCAATTTTCATAATTGTATTATAGTTATTAAATAATCATAATTTTTCACGATAAATATCATCAACAATAATTGTAGATAATGGCAAATTATGTATAGTATTATATTTAATGCAATTAAATTTAATTGTTTATTAATTATTGTTAATACGACACGCTTCGAAGATAAGATCGCGTTACAACAAAATAAATAGATTACTATTGATAACAAGGGCTACCCTTAAAAAAAAAAAAAAACTATTAAATCATCAAAAGTAAAAATAGGGATATGAGCAGGTTTGCATGGTAATATCATTATGTAATACTACGTATTGCTTGTGGACGTCGAAATGTACCGTAATAACCCGGAAAGTCCTAATCGTCATATAGTCACGTGGAAGTGGATTTCCCATAGGAGACATTTATTGCACCGAAGTATGTCCTGTACTCATGTATGTGTACTCGCCGAGACACGAGACGAAGGGGTCTCCCGTCGCCCTTATTTGAACCAAAATCATCGCTTTAATCCATCTGTACCGCTTATTATTATATGAAATAAAACTACTACTCAGGACGAGATATTTGCGTTTGAGGATTTTAATTTATTCCTAAAAGTCGCTTACAATTATTCAATTCTTCCTAGTCGAACACATCATCATCTAAGGTCAAACCAATAAATAATACGACCGTCGTTTGCGGACAGGATGCATAATGTTATAGGTAGTAGGTACATATTATCCATATTTACATACACCGACGCACATAATATTATAAAGGTATACTATTTTCTCGTCGGGGTGATCTGCACTCGTCCTGGTTTGTAGTCAAGTGTCCTGGTGACGATACTAAAAATGTCTCGAGTTTTATTAATACGACTTACGTAAAATTCATTAATGGCCTTTTACTTAAATTAAACCTGAGGGTTACTATAAAATGAAAATAAAGAGAAATCATGCGTTATGTGGTTCATATTATATTGGTTTTAATTTTTCCCGAGTGAAATAGTTAACCAACGATAGTCGATAATCAATTAAATTATGCCATTAAATGTATTTGCTTAAACATTTTAATCATATATAAATATATAATATATACTGTACAGGTATGATATATATATTAATATCTATACATTTTATTAGATATATCTGATGATTTATAAGGTATTATAATTTATAATTATTATTATATTGATTAAAATACAATACAATAGATATTAAATAATGATTAACAATTAACAAATAACAATAGGTTAGCTCGAACTCGAGAAAAAGTTAATAATTCAAATATTTAATAGTAATGTTTTGGCAATACAAGCTGTAAAAATAAAATGGATAGATGTAATATTGTAAACAAATAATTTTTTTTTTTATTGGGTAGTCCATAGTATAGGTTCATAAAATAATTATTTAAACATAAGTCTTGAATAATTCTGAACACATGAGTGTGTCCTATAGTTTTCTTAAAATGTCTTGAAATGAGAATTCGCACAAGCCTCCGGTGGTTGTAGAAAACAAATCGAAACATGAACGCATTTAATATAATCTATTTAATGTATACATAATATTATGTTGTTCAATGAAAATTCCTAGCATGTTACAGTTTGATTAGAATTTTGATTCGGTTTTTAAAATAATTACCGATAGCCGGTGTTGCGTGACACTTCCCCTATAAAATGTATTACATACACAGGGTATAATTGACAGAAGTCACAGGTGTTTATAACTGACATTGTAAAATTTCTTATCAGTTTTAAAAAAAATAAGTTACAATTATCGATAATTATGGAATTTGAGTTGAAAGTCATATATATATATATATGTATAAATTATACGGTATGTAAATTAACTAAAAGTATTACTACGCATTAGAACTAAAATTATTATACAGTCAGTCAATTACATTTGTCAGCTATTTCTGTTACACCATACATAATTTAATGTATGTATGTGTAGTATAGTATTGACTCTTTGATAATGTAAAGTTAATAGACCGTTGATGTCGAATGGATGACCGCTACCCACAGATATGCTAGTCTCTTTTTTTCATTATAATACAATGTATAACTTGTATGGATTCATCGGATAGGAACCTATAGTACCACCTATCCGGTAAAATTGTTTAAGTTAATTAATCAATAGCGAAAATGTTTTTTAGTTTTTCTACGGGTTATGAAACAAAATTCAAAAAGCTGTTAAGTGGGCAACGCTCTGTTGTAAATTAAACGTTATAGAGGGACATGTTTACTCCTTATTTTTCATTTGTTTTTCCTGAAACTTTTCAAAACCATTGTGAATTTTTAATTTTTGACCCTCAAAAGAACCAACTAGATTCACTTTCTTACCAGAAAACATGGTGTTGCAGAAAATCGAATTATATTTACTGTACAGACACATAAAACACATAAAAAAAACTTATTTTTGTAAGATCAATACATTTATCGCTTCGGGCCCCACTCAGAGTCTAAAACAAAAACACGCTATAATTAATTGTACATTTGGAATTAAAAATGATCGTTTTTTGTCTCGGTCATCTCGTTAAATCTACACATCATTTTGTCGGTATATGTGGTCCGGGCCAACGACGTGGAATTGAATGCAGGCGAAGCCCAGGTACATAGGTATATATTATATCATTGTATAGAATACCACGGTTGTGGTCGAAACGAAGCCACCGAGGTCGCGAAGGTGCATTGTCTAATGATTACGCGCGTATTGAAATTACCTTTGTGGTGCCGTTTACAAAGGATAATATTATAACGTCCGATGTGCTCGATCACAGAACCGGTAAAACAGAACGGAGGACCGTCGCTCTCATTGATGATGAATCTAATTATAATAATAATAATAATAATAATAATAATAATAATAATAATTATTATTATATTATGATGACGATGCTGACGATGACGATGACGACGATGGCGTATAATCGGCACAGAAGTCAATTTTTGTCCTTGGTACATTTACGACTTATACGAGTGTGGAGGTACGTATTATACGATATTAAACATTACCTTTTTATTTCTTCCAAGTCGACACGTATGACGATAATTATATCTGACTAAGGCCGTCGACGTAATATTATAGCCCTAGTAGGATATTCGCCATTCGAATATTTTAATAAAACGAAAAATGTACTATAGCTGTCTAAGTACGTGCAGCTGCAGATATTCCATACAAATATGTATCATGTAGTTACAAATTATTATACATATTATACTAATACTGATTAGATTTTCGGGCATTAGTTGATCACGAATATCGACTTATGTGTACCAGTTGTTGTTTTTATCCATATTTTTACTATGGTATTGTATACTACTATAGAACTGCAGTATAATATGCTAGATTAGCATAAATGATAAATGATAATAAACTTCACGCCTCTCACGCAGTCACAAGTTCTTCCTTCGACTCCGATCGAACGTCGAACAAACACATATTCACACACACATCGCCATATCGTACACGCCATTTTCGGGTGCCGATCATCCCCAACGGCCGCATCTCACTTCTCTCGTTAAGTTTTTATCTTTAATACCCCGTATCGCGGGCTACCTATATATTATATACAATGCCGTAATACTTACTGCCTTCTGTATAAGTTGTACAATGATGTTTTCTGCGTTTGTCAGGATTAATAGAGCCGACATTCGATACCCTGTTACTCTAACGTTCAAAATCGGACTTTACTTTAATCACCAGAGGCGTATTTATATATTTACTGCTTGTAGGCCTGCGGAAAATTGCCGCCCTTAATTATGATAAAATAAAATTTAATTAGGTAGGTATGCAAAACAAATTTTAATTACATTTTAAATACATATATATATATATATATATATATATATATATGAATAATAATTTAAGTTGAAAAATATTAGAAAAAAAGGAATTACAAAATGTTTGTATACATTCTAAATGTCTTACATATAATAAATTATTTATTAAACGATCGGTTTACGTCGACATTTGGTTTTGGCAAATGCGTCAATTAAATCCTCGCAATTCAATTCTTTTAACATTTCATTTTCTATAGAGAATAATGCTAAGCTGTTTAACTTCTCATCATTTTGAGTGGACCTTAAGTAGTTTTTTACACGTTTGAGGCATGAAAATGATCTCTCGGTAGTACAATTGGATACTGGTACACTTATGAAAATTCTTAATGCAGTGTCAACATTTGGAAATATTTCAATATGTAAAGATTTTTCTCTCAAATACTGACACAGTGTGATTGGAGTTAAAATATTGATGTCAATATCGATATTACTATTCAGTAAATAAGATTGCAAATGTAAGCATTCTGACGAAAATGTATTATCCAAATCATTCGGGTACATTTTTTGCAATTTCTCGGCGGACTCAACTATTTTCAAAGAATTTAAAGATGTAATTTTTAGTAGTACTTCGAATAAATCACAAAACGTTTTGTAGGACTGGTGTCTTTTTTCAAGTTCATTAGTAATTTTATCAATAATAAGGTAAAATGTTTCAACTCGAAATTTATCTCCACCACTTAACTCAGTTTGTTCAGCTTTTTCATCGAAGTGTATTTTTTTTTTTTTTTGTCGAGTTATATCAACATTGTACTCTGTAATCTTTGATATTTTTTTAGCTTTAGTTTCATATTCATTAAAATTATCTCGGGTTTTTTGTACTAGATTAATAAGTGATGTATAAATTTGAGAAACTTTATCATTTCCAATTTCAACACATTGTAGTTGCTTATTTGATGCATTAAATCGTTCTAATATATAATTCCAGAAAATTACCATAAATGATGTTTCTAATTTTTGCATTTGATTATAAAGACCATTTGATTCATTTCGCGTAGCACATTTTTCGAAAATGTCATCCTTGATAGTGACCAATGCATTAATAATTTCGTCCCACGAATTATATAATGCTCGACATGCGTCTGCGCGAGCCGACCACCTAGTATTCGATAAACTCTTAATTGTATTAGCATTATGTTTCATATTTAATTGCAAAATTGACCATCTATGCGTTGATGCGGAAAAGAAGTTGTATAATTGTTGTATAAATCCAAAAAACATTGATGCTTGTGAGCAACTTTCAGCAGAAGATATGCCAACTAAATTTAACGAGTGTGCGCTACATGGTACATAATAAACAAGTGGATTAATTTCTTTTATTCGTGCCTGAACTCCACTGTATTGGCCTGACATATTACTAGCATTATCGTAGCTTTGCCCTCGACAGTCAGAAATGTCAATATCGTGTGATTTTAAAGTATTGGTAATGGCATTAGTCAAATCTAAAGCTTTATGTCCTGGATTTGAAACAAAACATAAGAATCGTTCTACAGGAAGACCTGTTTCGAGGACATATCTCACCATAAATGATAATTTGTCGACGTGCGAAATATCTGGCGTCGAATCAATACTAATTGAAAAATATTTTGATATTTTTAATTCTTTAACAATATTATGTTTTAATTTTTTCATCATTAATAAAATAAACTCATCACATACCACGTGAGATAAATACGATGTAGAGCCACTACCTTTATTTCCAAAACGAACTATATGATCGGCTAAAAACGGATCAAATTTTGCGATTAATTCGAGTGACATTAAATAATTACCATTGTGTACAGAACCAAAACACGAATCATGTCCTCGAAATGGGAGTCCACGAGAAGCTAACGATTTAATAGTTTCGACTACTCTCTTCAACACATTTCTCCAATATTCGATTTCTGTATCTAATTGTTTAATCAATGAATAATCAATACGCCCCAAGACATTACCTCTATGTTTTAAATTAATAATAGCATCTCTGTGCTCTTTACTATTTTCGTGGTAACTGAAACGGCTAATAGCATTTTTCCAATCATTAAATCCTTCAGTAACAAGTTGAGTTTCTAAAGATGTTTGAAATATACGACAAGGCCCACAAAAAACTACTCCTAAACTTGGAGAATAAACTAACCATGAACGAACAATTATTTCTCCATTAATCAATCGTCTATTAAACATAATGTTGGTCAAATATCTTGTTTTATCACAATATACACGTTTGGAGTTAATAAAACCGTTTGTCATATTTTGATTAAAACCATTTTTTGCAACATAGTCGCGAAATTCGTCGTTAATAACCCATTTAACTGGGTCTGTCTCGAAAATGATTTCATTTACTATCATATTAGTTAACCCATTTGACCCACAACTATCTTCAGGTTCAATATTGTCCACTTCAACAGATAAACTAATTGTTGTTTCACTAACCTGAGCATCTGTTTTCTTCGGAATATCTATAGTGTTAGTGCTACTATTACTACTACAACTATCAGAAGTAGAAGCTGGATTTTTAAAAAAATCAGTCAATTTGTGTGTTTTATTTAAAACATTATGCAACTTTTCACTTTTTAATTTTGCAATTTTTTTGTATTGGTCACCACTTAACCGTTTTCTATTCGTACTCATATTCACAAAATAAATAGGATAATTAAAAAAAAAAACAACAACGATATAATAAGTAGACAAATAAAAGCGACACAGCTACAGCAGTAAGAACTCTACACTACGCAATACGGCCAGTACGCACAGACTGAATTATAATTAATTATTATCACTTCTCCAGAAATAAAATAAAATATCAACAAAATATTCGTATAGAACCAGCGTGCCGTCTTGATAATATTAGATTATACTATTATTATTATTGCCAATTGTTATAAATATGTTCTATAGACGCTCACTGACCGCGCCGTCGCGGCTTGAATAATATTCCCAATAGACGGCGGCACGGCGCGCGGCGGTAAGAAACTATAAAAATAATAAATTCGAATTCTATTTTAAGCCAATGCCATTGTTTTCAATAATTTAAACTAATCTTGTATGCTGTTGTGGCTATTTTTTTTATTTTTTTTTTAGAGTATTTTACAATAACATAAAACGATATAATAAGTCTCACCAAGTCAATATATAATACCATAATTATCGAAAAAAAAACCCTTGAAAAATATGCCACCCCTCAAAATTTGCCGCTGTAGGCACGTGCCTATAGTGCCTGCATATAAATACGCCACTGTTAATCACGTAAATGTGTCAGGAGACATTTGTATTTTGTCTTCACTCCGATCGATATAATAATAATAGTAATAATATTTTAATACGAATAATATTTTTCTTCCGTCCTCAAATAACATAATGTCAAGAACCAGCTTTAAGGGCGTATGTCAAAGCGACAACATAGCAGCTGCAGTTGTATGTATAATTTGAAAACATGATTTCGAAAGCGTAGTGATGTGTTTTTTTTCTGCCAAACCTCCGCCGCACGTCAAACGGTATACCTTTTCCCAGCGAATTAACCACATTAATATTAAATGTGTTTCAAATGAGTGAAATCGGACAGCAAACGTGAAAAAAAAATAATGGTTTACACTCTCCCGTGGTCGAAGGACGAAACGATTACGATAAATCGTTAAAAACCTATTCAAATTAATTCATGCTTTCATAATGTCTTTAAATCGTAATACGTATTCTCTTCGTATCATTCACTGGTATGAAATACTTCAAAATAATATGTACCGTAACAATAAAGGGAAAAAATATCGTTTTAGAGAAGAGTTACTAAACTGATGTATACAATAAATATTATATTATTATGATACTTGATGTTGAATAATATCATAAGAATATGTGTTATACCCTGTTATTTTGAATTTAAGCGATATAAAACTGTGTATAGTATAACTGCTCTCAAATATAATATACTATTCTGTTACACGCGTTTTCTTGTGAGTTGTACAATGGTTGTTGTTAAATGTGTGAAATGCTAAAATTTTTTATTTTAAATATTAATCACGAAAAGTTATTCTTCATATTTTTGCCGAGCGAGCGCTACGTATAGCTTTAGTGACAAGAACAAATTTTCAGATCGCGGTCCTAGTATAAGAACCACAATAAATCACAATAAAATAAATTGAATGCCGTATTTTCTCGGCAAAATGCATTTATTCGTAACCGTACAGCGTAATAAATAATTCCGATATAAATATTTAACTTCTCGGGTTGACCGTGTGGAGCGATCGTCTTCATACAGCGGGGGTCAATGCGGCGTGAAAGCTGTCGCAGGACTAACGCGCCAGCTATTTTATTATTACATATTATCATCGTCATCATCATCACCATCACCGTCATTATTGCTGTAGCGACCGCCGACTTGTTGTGTGGGACATTCCTAGTTTCACCCACCCACCACCCACACACACACACATACACACACACACACACACACACACACACACACACACACACACACACACACACACACACACACACACACACACACACACACACACACACACACACACACACACACACACACACACACACAAATGTTTACTTACCACAGTGTTAAGCTCTACCTCATAAATGATGCATGTGTAATGTGTATTTTATTATAGATATATTATGTGTGTGCGTGTGTCCCTGGAAAACGTCCTTCGCAGATATACCTTTTATACCTTTGTCCACACACCGACGGTCACCCGCAGGACGTTCGGGACGAGTAGCACGTGGTCGTCGTCGTCGTCATGACCTGATATATCGGAGACACAGGTGAACGTCAGTATTTTTTTCGTCGATTTCCGTACGGCGAGTGCCGTGAGTCGTTGCAGGGTTAGATAAAATATTATAATTAAGTATACGATTAGTTCGTATCGAACGAAATATAATGTGACTGATTCTATAGCTCTCATGGCTTGCATTGAATTTAAAATACCGAAATAATCCCGCGAGAGAATAAGGTCCTAACCCAAATATATTACATTTGGAAATCGGGTGGATTAAATCTGATATTCAAACTTCAAAGTACAGATTAACAAATCTAAATGTTTCTGCTGAACTTGAATTTTCGGTGATGTTATGCCACCGTGAAATAGATATGATGGAGTACACTATTGTTACGATAAGTGAAAAACATATGGATATTTTTACCTATAAGTACCTAGTACGATGGAAAGTCGACCAAAAGACATGACGTGGAATTTATTTAAAAGTAGATTGAAACAATTACGTGGATTACTCAACAAGTGACCTCGTTGATAGATACAATATTTAAATTATTATATTTTTGAATAATATATAACAGTCATGCCCAACCCGCGGCCCGCGGGCCACATGTGGCCCGCCAAGGTATTCCATGTGGCCCAATACAAATTGTTAAAATAAAACAAAATATTCCAAAAAAAGTAAAATTATATATATTATATAAGATAAAAAAATAAAATGTAAAACCGATAGTACATTTCCACTACTTTTGTGCATTTGAGGATCGTCTCAAAACTCAAAGGTTAGCGTATTAAAAAAAAAAAATAAAAAAAATGTGTATTATTAAATAATAAATAAAAGTATTCATAGTGACTCAATATGCTCCTCGAAAAATTGTAGCCACAATTTTTTTTTTGGACCGGAAAGGGGAGTTCTTCTCATCGAGTTTATGCCTACCGGGACCACAATCAACCCTGCGGCTTCTTGCTGTGAGATACTGAAAAAGCTAGCCAGAGCTATGCAAAATCGATGACGAGGCATGCTGAAAAAAAGGGATTTGCCTTCTGCATGAAAACGCTGAACCCCATGCAAACCTTGATACAAAAGCCGTTTTGGATCTGTTTGCAGGTTGGGACGTTTTGACCCCGTCCTCCCATAGGCCAGATGATCCTTCGGACACAACTTGTTCGTGAGCCTGAAGAAACATTTTGTGAGTAAGAAGGATGGGCGACGAGGTGGCAAATCGTGATGAGAAGTGCAGCATAGAAAAACGTGTTTTAGTGATATTTGAAAAGTACGTCCGAGACTAGGTTGAAAAATAATACTTACACAGTCGATGTTAAAACTTTTTTTTATTTATTTTTTTTATCAAGGATAGTACTTTTGGGACATTATACGACACCTCGTATAATGTAAATATATCATATACACATTAAAGTGTAAACACAACCTATTTATTATAAAGTCGTGATGTTTCTTTGGGATTTTACGAAAAAATACTAACTCTAATAAATCCATCCCGTGATAATATCTCTCAGCTTCACTCGGCTCTTTTTCATACATAGCTGTCGTATTTCCGTATTCTACCCTTAACTACACATAGGTGGTAGGTGCATTATAAGAATTGGGGCGGTGAAATTATTGCGTTTAAAAACACATTCAGTTGATTACATCATTAAAATATCTTAAAAATTGCACTCATAAATTGAAAAATTGCATTGAAAACGTTCTTGAAAAATAAGAATACATAATAAAAATAAATATAATAACACCAAATTAAATACTAACATTGCTTATATTAATGCATTGCACAACAAGTGATTTTTTTTTAAGTTTTCGAAGTTATAGCATGACAATATACTATATTCTTATACCCGGAGAAACTTCTTTCCACATAGCTTGACATGTTCGTTACAGCTGCATTACTATGGTTCTAATCGTAGATTATTTAAAGTAAACCAGGATTCAGATCATTGCTGCTGAAACATTCTGGCAATCACTCCATCGTTGGCTTTATTTCTCCTTTTAAAATTTGAGAACTAGAAATATTTCAATAAGCATAATTAAAATACATCGTTTACTCGATTTATATTCTAAATAGGTACTATCGAGATAAATATTTTTAAAATTATACTAAAATTTCACTCAATTGATGAAAAAATAAATCACATTTCAATAAAAAAAAAAAAAAAGTATCTATTAAATTAACAATAATTATACTGTTTCGGCTGGTACGCCAAACAAATTTTGTGTAGGAAATTACCAACAATAACTAATGTAAGATGAGATAATTAAAAATCAAACGATTGAGATATGGTAATGAGTGAATACTGTTCAACAATAATAATAATATATAAATGAGGCCTTAACCTATGTTAGTATTATTGTTAGTATTATTGTTAGTATTATTGTTAGTATAACTGTCAACATATACCATATACGTTAATTTGATGAACTTAGACATGCATATGAGAATCTGAAAAAAAGATACAAATGCAATAACTATATACACTTTACCGTTCTTATAACAATAATAATAATAATCTTTATACTGTATATAAAATCCAAATACCACTCACTCATCGCTATATCTGAAAAATTACGAACCTGAAATTTGGAACTGTGGTTCGCCCGATGCTCTGAATACCTATTCGATAAGAAAATATTTTCCGATGTTCTCGTTTTAAAAAGGTACGTACATCAAACATGGATCTTGACATTCACGGTGGAAATTGAACCTTTTTTTTTGTTTAAAATTGGTTGTGGGCGTGAACAGTGAGACCGCCGCTGCCAAAGGTTTTCACATTCGGAAGACGCATATAATAATATAGTCTCGCTCTTATCGTTCGTCTCTTTTCGTCATAATAATATTTTATTTAATTGACGGCTATGCGGGGAGGCGGCTCTAAACTGCAGCGCGCCACGAAAAT